TGTGGTACCTGTAATGACTGTGGTACCTGTAATGACTGTGGTACCTGTAATGACTGTGGTACCTGTAATGACTGTGGTACCTGTAATGACTGTGGTACCTGTAATGAATGTGGTACCTGTAATGACTGTGGTACCTGTGACTGTGGTACCTGTGACTGTGGTACCTGTAATGACTGTGGTACCTGTAATGACTGTGGTACCTGTAATGATTGTGGTACCTGTAATGATTGTGGTACCTGTGATGACTGTGGTACCTGTAATGACTGTGGTACCCGTAATGACTGTGGTAATGACTGTGGTACCTGTAATGACTGTGGTACCTGTGTGGTACCCGTAATGACTGTGGTACCTGTAATGACTGTGGTACCTGTAATGACTGTGGTACCTGTAATGACTGTGGTACCTGTAATGACTGTGGTACCCGTAATGACTGTGGTACCTGTAATGACTGTGGTACCTGTAATGACTGTGGTACCTGTGATGACTGTGGTACCTGTAATGACTGTGGTACCTGTAATGACTGTGGTACCTGTAATGACTGTGGTACCTGTAATGACTGTGGTACCTGTAATGACTGTGGTACCTGTAATGACTGTGGTACCTGTGATGACTGTGGTACCTGTAATGACTATGGAACCTGTAATGACTGTGGTACCTGTAATGACTGTGGTACCTGTAATGACTGTGGTACCTGTAATGACTGTGGTACCTGTAATGACTGTGGTACCTGTAATGACTGTGGTACCTGTAATGACTGTGGTACCTGTAATGACTGTGGTACCTGTAATGACTGTGGTACCTGTAATGACTGTGGTACCTGTAATGACTGTGGTACCTGTAATGATTGTGGTGACCGTAATGACTGTGGTACCTGTAATGACTGTGGTACCTGTAATGATTGTGGTACCTGTAATGACTGTGGTACCTGTAATGACTGTGGTACCTGTAATGACTGTGGTACCTGTAATGACTGTGGTACCTGTAATGACTGTGGTACCTGTAATGACTGTGGTACCTGTAATGACTGTGGTACCTGTAATGACTGTGGTACTTGTAATGACTGTGGTACCTGTAATGACTGTGGTACCTGTAATGACTGTGGTACCTGTAATGACTGTGGTACCTGTAATGACTGTGGTACCTGTAATGACTGTGGTACCTGTAATGACTGTGGTACCTGTAATGACTGTGGTACCTGTAATGACTGTGGTACCCGTAATGACTGTGGTACCTGTAATGACTGTGGTACCTGTAATGACTGTGGTACCTGTAATGACTGTGGTACCTGTGATGACTGTGGTACCTGTAATGACTGTGGTACCTGTAATGACTGTGGGGGAGATGTTTATAATTAAACAAGTACTTTTAAAAATTGTTATACGCGTACTTCATCATCAGTCTGAGCCCTTGAGGTTCATTTCTTTGATCTCTTTCCAGTTGTAGACACGATTGTTTGATTATTTTTCTATGTTCTTCATGGTCTAAGAGTCTCTCAAATCCCCATAAACTCCCACATTTCTTCATATCTTCACAGACGGGCCCGTTTTACGAGGACATAAGAGTGCATCAGCATTTACAGCTCGCTCTTCAGGCAGAACAGTTAAGGATGCCAGCGGTGCCTTCTCCATGACCACCAGCAGCATGACGATGGCGGTGACACAGGGTTTCGTGTGGCTGGGATCACAGGACTATTCCCGCGCGTGTGTGCTGAGTGATTCTTTGAGTATGATACGTGGGGTCGAGGCAGGCTGGCTACACAGACAGTGGCTTGAGTCACTGCAAAGTTCTCCTGTGTGAGCAGTTACTTACGATCACGCAGACATTGTCATTGCCCTTAGAGAGATAGAACGTTCTAAGGATTTTGGAAGCAACGTGTCCACGTCACTTCTAAGAATACGCAAGAATTGGGAGTAAAGATCGGCACAGCCAAGCATGAGAAGCACACTGGGCGCACACAGTCTTGTTAACCAACATAGGACTGGTACTATTAACCACACGACGCTGATGAGTATGATGAGAGGGGAATTTGAGCGCCTACGGATGTGTCCGGAGTGCCGTGAAGATAATCTAACTGATAACTCATTCCCATATTTCATCATGGATTTATCTGAACCTAGCTTGTCATCTGTCACACTTACTTAGAGCCAAACACGATGTCCATTTCACAAAAAAGCATTTATTTTGTAATTCATCAATTCATGAAACATGACAAGATAATGGGGAGACATGTTAACAATACAGGCGACATTGAGAGATCAGATAGACAACTGACAGTTAAGTGATAAGGAAAATTCTAACTCCATTTACGCAGCATATGTTAACGTGCATGAATTAATTAGGGGTGCATATAAGTCTTGAACGTACACACTGACCAGGCATAGAAACACAGATGCTCCACCTGCTAAAAATAATAGGTTTAAAAAAAATTGACGGTGTCAAACTGTGAAATCTACTGTTGAATTCACTGCAGACACTTGCTAGGCCTCAAACTATTCGTGATGAAAGTACTTCCTGCAACAGTAACCACAACAACTACTAGTACCGTCCACTTATGATCCATATCATGTCAATTTGCCTGTAGCATTTCCGTTCTGTGCAACACGGCTGTTTTCCCATCCACGGCTGCATGAAACGGCTGCTTCCACTGGCGCGCACACTGTTGGCACATCACTGATACTGGCAGACATGTCATCACAGGCAACACATCACACAAGTTGTTGACTGACAACAATTTCCAGCTAGCTTACACGCCTCCACCTACTAGTCCCACAGACAATAGCACAGGGGATGCTCCAGATGTGGGGGCTTCAATAACCACTATACAAGGAATCATTTCACAGATGTAGGGACCACTGTACAAGGAATCATTTCACAGATGTAGGGACCACTGTACAAAGAGTCAAACATATTTACATTAACTTGCCTTGCATTTGTTCCTGTCTACACACACACACACACACACACATAATTTACAGTGGGGAAGGAATTGTGGAACCAGTAGCAGCCGCTGAGCATTCCAGTTGACTCCTGCAACTCTACATCCTTGTGTCCTAGATGACTACACTGGAAGAGCATACTGGCTTTCCTAGGGCCTGGCTTTCCTAAGGACCGGCTTTCCTGGGGGCCTGGCTTTCCTAGGAAGCTCTTACATTTCTGACTCCTGACAATGCTTGTGAGAAGTCACAAATGGTTAGGGGATGGTAGGAAAATGTAGTTGGTGGTATCTTAAGGTTTCACTGGGTGACAGCAACATCGAATTTTATGTCTCCGTTTGTGGAGGTGGCGCTAGGTGTTGCATGTGCATTCACAGCACAGAAACAAAATGGCAACTGCACTTTAGGAGTGTACCCTGCTGTGAGGTTTGGGAAAAGGGGGTGGGGGGAGGGCACAAAGGGCTGCCTGCAAAGGGACATTCATAATGAAATGCTTCCTGTTTATCCCATAAAGCGTTGCATAGCTGAGTAAAAATATACTTTTCTAGGATGCTGCATGATTGTTATCCCATCTGGTCGTCCTGTGAAGGCTGCATCTGTGCAGCGGGTGAGAGAGGTGGTTGTGGAACACCCACCCAACAGCCCCTGACTTAGCCCCTAGGAATTTCTAACTTTTTCCTCCACTGAAAAACACACCCTGGCAGGAGACATTTCACCAATGAAGCAAAGACAATGTATGTAGTTTACAAATCAGAGAAGGCAGTTCAATGCAGCATGTTTGGGAGAATCAATAAAACAGTGAGACAAGTGCATCAATGTTGGTGGAAGTGATGCTGAGAAATAAAGGGATAGTGTATGTGTAAACAACCATTTGTGACTTAACTTATTGACTTTTGTCTCTGGCACATCACATATATGTACGCTTTCTTCTTCCAAGTTGGCAGTGCATCTGCCTGATGTGAGGAATAGATATGCACACCAAATTCAACAAGTGGACAAACACACTAGAAGTTTTACACACACAGCAGAAATCATTTTGGTCTCAGAAATATTGTTCCTCTGCCTTCAGACACCGGATATTTCTAGTCAGTGCTTCCAGGGCTACATTCTTTCACCCCCCCCCCCCCCAACTCTTTACCCTTTTTTGTTGTTGGCAGAGCTGATTTCCTGTATTATTAATCGGTTTGCAGGTCTATTCTAAATGTCAGCCTCTGCCATTGAGACATGTCTGATATATCTACTGATGACATGATGCCACAGACACACAGACTCTGCCATTGAGACATGTCTGATATATCTACTGATGACATGATGCCACAGACACAGACTCTGTCATTGAGACATGTCTTATATATCTACTGATGACATGATGCCACAGACTCTGCCATTGAGACATGTCTTATATATCTACTGATGACATGATGCCACAGACTCTGTCATTGAGACATGTCTAATATATATCTACTGATGACATGATGCCACAGACTGTCATTGAGACATGTCTAATATATATCTACTGATGACATGATGCCACAGACACAGACTCCCCCCTCTCTCTCTCTGGTTGTACCCCACACAAGCGATAAATACCCGGTGACACAAAAAGCCACCATGTGGATGAGGATCCCCAGTGGAGAGGTCCCAGAAACCCCTTTCAGCCATATTTATGGTCCGACTATATTCAGGGTCCCCAGCAAAAGCCAGGGAGGGGCGTCAAATAGCTACATCACGACGTCAGGTGAAGTGTGCTGTTTCTGTTCTCCGCCTTCCACTCTCCAACAAATCTCTGCCAGTCTTGTCTAACAGAATGGGTGCAGTTGAGTGTTGTCAGCAACAACACTGCCTCCATGTCAGCAACAACACTGCCTCCATGTCAGCAACAACACTGCCTCCATGTCAGCAACAACACTGCCTCCATGTCAGCAACAACACTGCCTCCATGTCAGGTCACATTTCCCTCTCAATGTGCCACAGAATATCCCAAGACAATGGCTCAACAACATTAAAGACTGCAACCCCTTCCTGCTTACTCAGTGCACACACAATCCTCCAATGGGTAGTGAAAACACAGACAATTACACATACCAATCCTACCCTAAACCACAACCCTCAATAGTTCAAGTGACATGTCACAAATTACAGTCCTCCACAGGAAAGTGCCTCCAACACAACCTTCTATTCTGCAGGTGAACAATGAAAGTCCTCCACTGCAGCCCCTCCAACACAACCTTCAACAGTGGAGGTCCCAAGTCTTCCATCAGAGAGTAGCTCTCAACCATCGTCCAACACAACCTTCAACAGTGGAGGTCCCAAGTCTTCCATCAGAGAGTAGCTCTCAACCATCGTCCAACACAACCTTCAACAGTGGAGGTCCCAAGTCTTCCATCAGAGAGTAGCTCTCAACCATCGTCCAACACAACCTTCAACAGTGGAGGTCCCCAGTCTTCCATCAGAGAGTAGCTCTCAACCATCGTCCAACACAACTTTCAACAGTGGAGGTCCCCAGTCTTCCATCAGAAAGTAGCTCTCAACCATCGTCCAATGTGAGGGCAGTCAATGGCATATCACATTCAAAGTTATATCCACAAACAGAAACTAACACTTGGCCACTAGCAAAAAAACACACATAGGCTGTTGGCTTTCCCCTGCCAGAACTGTACACAGAGCCGGTGATTGCTGCTGCACACAAGTCTCTCAGGACTCATGTGGTCGTCCACTGCTGGGACTTCTGACCTGGGTTGGGTTCAGATCCACATGCAGCGTTGACAGTTATCAATCGGGCTGGCTTGTTTCATGTTTTAGCCACCAGTTGACACTTGTGGCATATCCTGGGTGTTGCTAACACCTGGAAGAATCATGGCAGGTGAGTCGAGCTGTCCTGACTCAAGCAAACACTGACCACTATCTCAGGTGTGCATCAGGGTCTGCAGAGCTGCCGTCCCTTTTGTCTTTCAAGTCACTGGTGCTATCCGCAGGGCTGCACCCTTTTGATTTGCTGGACGATGATGGAGAATTGTCATGGCTACGGGACAACATTGTGGCTGCCACGCTGGAGCTAGAGTGAATCAATGGTGGCGGCGCCACCGGCATGCCATGTGGGGAGTTGCTTTTGAGTCCGGCTAAGCCACCAGGTCCGAACATGGGGCTCAGTGTCCGAGGGAAATAGCCGCCCACAGCCAGTGGGTCCACAGCTCTCAGACGGTCAGCGTTGAATGATGGCAGGCGGTCAAAGTACTGTCGGCGAATGTCATACTCCCGCTCCTGCTGCTGCTCTCGAAGGATCTGCTCTTTGAGTCTTTCTTGTTCCAGAGCTGCCAGATGAGAGGGCATGCCTGACAGGCGGGAGATCATTGCCAGGCGCTCTCTCTCCCTCTCTATTTCTAACCGATGGGCAATCTCTGCCGATTTATCGAAGGGGCTCCACATGGAAGCCGGGACAGGTGGTCGGTCCAAGAATGGATATGCTGTCCCGGGATGACCCATGAATGCCACCCTACGGTCCAGGAGACCCGGGTGGGTGTGTAACCCTGCCCCAAAAGAATTAAAATATCCGCTGTTCTGAAGGAACTTCTCCCTCTGCTCCACTGCCTGTAGCAGCTTCTCCCTCTCTACTGCAGCAGCATTCTGAAGTAGCTTCTCTTTTTCCATTCGTTCCCTCTCCATCCTATCCCTCTCTAGTTTATCCCTCTCTAGTCTCTCCCTCTCTCTTTTCTCTCTCTCTGCCAGGTGATGGGGCACCAGAGACAAATCGTCCTCTCTCCGCTCCTCCTTCAACTTCAGTCCAGAAGAGGAGGCTGACAGAGGTCTCTTGTCATAGGGCCCCAGATCTGACTTGTGGTGATCCATCCGACCATTCACCAATGGTGACCGTGACCTCGACCTTGACTTTGGCCTTGACGAATCTGCATGCCGAATATCCTCTAGCCCAGACAGGTGATGACTCATTGATCCTCTCCTCTCCCTGTAGCTGCAACACAAAAGCAGCTGATTATCACAGGAAACCACACCCGGGCATCTCACACAACTCATTCTACAGTCCAGACATTACGAATACAACACAGAACAATGACTACAACATTGCCACTGCCTGGCAGGAGTCACATTGGCCCACACACTGTCATCTCAAAAGCCACATCAAGTGTCACATCACTGCCTGGCAGGAGTCACAATGGCACAAGCACACACTGTCATCTCAAAAGCCACGTCAAGTGTCACATCACTGCCTGGCAGGAGTCACAATGGCACACGCACACACTGTCTTCTCAAAAGCCACGTCAAGTGTCACATCACTGCCTGGCAGGAGTCACAATGGCACACGCACACACTGTCATCTCAAAAGCCACGTCAAGTTGTCACATCACTGCCTGGCAGGAGTCACAATGGCACACGCACACACTGTCTTCTCAAAAGCCACGTCAAGTGTCACATCACTGCCTGGCAGGAGTCACAATGGCACACGCACACACTGTCATCTCAAAAGCCACGCCAAGTGTCACATCACTGCCTGGCAGGAGTCACAATGGCACACGCACACACTGTCATCTCAAAAGCCATGCCAAGTGTCACCTAAAAACTCTTCACATACTGCCACCCAACAAGGGCTGCCTCTGTTGCTGGCCTGTTGCAGCAAATATTTGCCTGTGCTGTCTACACCTAGACTGATCAACAGACTGTAGAGCCAACATCCCTGCCTGGTCCACTGCTGAGGGGGGCGGGGGGGGGGGGGCCTACACTGACCACTATCTTCTGCTCTCACTGCACTTCTATGACTAGGCTAGACACCCTATGTTGTCACTCTCTTGTCCTCATGTTGTCACTCTCTTGACCCCACATGTTGTCACTCTCTTGACCCCACATGTTGTTACACTCTCAACCCCCATGCAGTTACTCTCTTGACCTCCATGTTGTCACTCCCTCGACCCCCATGCAGTCACTCCCTCGACCCCCATGCAGTCACTCCGGTGACCCCATGTTGTTACTCCCACAAATCTGAGATGGATCTTCTGACTTGTGTGTTTACCCTTAAAAAGCCAGTTGGCCTGGGATGTTTACCAACAGGCTGTGATGTCTGCACCTTTGCGCCCAAATACCTAATTTCATCTAAACTGTTGTTACTTGCCAAGTGTCACCTAAAAACTCTTCACATACTGCCACCCAACAAGGGCTGCCTCTGTTGCTGGCCTGTTGCAGCAAATATTTGCCTGTGCTGTCTACACCTAGACTGATCAACAGACTGTAGAGCCAACATCCCTGCCTGGTCCACTGCTGAGGGGGGCGGGGGGGGGGGGCCCACACTGACCACTATCTTCTGCTCTCACTGCACTTCTATGACTAGGCTAGACACCCTATGTTGTCACTCTCTTGTCCTCATGTTGTCACTCTCTTGACCCCACATGTTGTCACTCTCTTGACCCCACATGTTGTTACACTCTCAACCCCCCATGCAGTTACTCTCTTGACCTCCATGTTGTCACTCCCTCGACCCCCCATGCAGTCACTCCCTCGACCCCCATGCAGTCACTCCGGTGACCCCATGTTGTTACTCCCACAAATCTGAGATGGATCTTCTGACTTGTGTGTTTACCCTTAAAAAGCCAGTTGGCCTGGGATGTTTACCAACAGGCTGTGATGTCTGCACCTTTGCGCCCAAATACCTAATTTCATCTAAAACTGTTGTTACTTGCCAAGTGTCACCTAAAAACTCTTCACATACTGCCACCCAACAAGGGCTGCCTCTGTTGCTGGCCTGTTGCAGCAAATATTTGCCTGTGCTGTCTACACCTAGACTGATCAACAGACTGTAGAGCCAACATCCCTGCCTGGTCCACTGCTGAGGGGGGCGGGGGGGGGGGGGGGGGCCCACACTGACCACTATCTTCTGCTCTCACTGCACTTCTATGACTAGGCTAGACACCCTATGTTGTCACTCTCTTGTCCTCATGTTGTCACTCTCTTGACCCCACATGTTGTCACTCTCTTGACCCCACATGTTGTTACACTCTCAACCCCCATGCAGTTACTCTCTTGACCTCCATGTTGTCACTCCCTCGACCCCCATGCAGTCACTCCCTCGACCCCCATGCAGTCACTCCGGTGACCCCATGTTGTTACTCCCACAAATCTGAGATGGATCTTCTGACTTGTGTGTTTACCCTTAAAAAGCCAGTTGGCCTGGGATGTTTACCAACAGGCTGTGATGTCAGCACCTTTGCGCCCAAATACCTAATTTCATCTAAACTGTTGTTACTTGCCTTTATGGGGCGCTAGGTCTTTTCTTCAGTCCCGTTATACGGAGCAGAAACATGGAGAACAACTTCTTTTCGTTCACCAGCTGTTAACTCCGGCGGAAAGTTCTGGTTGTTCATCCACTTTTAGACTGGAGTCCCGCTCCAGAACCTGAGTGTTACATGTGCATCCATTTTACAGATCTGAATTTTTTGTATGCAGACTGCTGGTTCCTTGTCTCTCAAGCAGATGCACTCCGACTTCAAATGAAGCTCCCAATGAGTTGACTCTTACGACATGCTTTTTGGTAGGCAGTGGGTCAATTCTTGTTTTCCCTAAAAAAGGGCCCCTGGAACCCACACGGCGGATTGAGAACAACGAAGGCAAAGACAAACTACAAACATTCATAACTGGTACTTAGAGTGAATTAAATGGCATGATAGATTCATTAATGTAGAGCTTTGGGAGAGAACAAAACATGTTCCAGTGGACCAAGAGGCAAGACGCTGGTGATGGAAAAGACATATGTTAAGAAAACCTGAAAGTCTTTGCAGTGGAACCCACAGGGGCATAACAATCCGGAGACCATGAAATGAAGAATCGGCTCACCTTTCTTCCTCTTTCCTGAGCTCCCTCTCTCGCTCCTTGTCCCTGTCCTTGTCCCTCTCAGCTTCAGACTTGGGCCAGGAGGGGAAGGATGAGGGAGTGCGATGCAGCCGGTTCCATTCGTGAGCAGAACTCAGTCCTGGAGGTGGCATCTCATGAATGGAGGCAAACATGCTACCACCTGGAGGTCATAGACAAACATCCTTAATCTTAGTTACCATGGCAATATCAGCAGTCTAAGTTAGTTACCATGGTAATATCAGCAGTGTCTAAGTTAGTTACCATGGCAATATCAGCAGTGTCTAAGTTAGTTACCATGGCAATATCAGCAGAGTCTAAGTTAGTTACCATGGCAATATCAGCAGTGTCTAAGTTAGTTACCATGACAATATCAGCAGAGTCTTAAGTTAGTTACCATGACAATATCATCAGTGTCTAAGTTAGTTACAATGGCAATATCAGCAGTGTCTAAGTTAGTTACCATGACAATATCAGCAGAGTCTAAGTTAGTTACCATGGCAATATCAGCAGTGTCTAAGTTAGTTACCATGGCAATATTGACAGTGTCTAAGTTAGTTACCATGGCAATATTAGCAGTGTCTAAGTTAGTTACCATAGCAATATCAGCAGTGTCTTAGTTACCATGACAATATCAGCAGTGTCTAAGTTAGTTACCATGACAATATCAGCAGTGTCTAAGTTAGTTACCATGACAATATCAGCAGTGTCTAAGTTAGTTACCATGACAATATCAGCAGTGTCTAAGTTAGTTACCACAACAATATCAGTGGTGTAAGTTAGTTACCATGGCAATATCAGCTGTCTATGTTAGTTACCATGGCAATATCAGCAGTGTCTTAGTTACCATGGCAATATCAGTGGTGTCTATGTTAGTTACCATGACAATATCAGCAGTGTCTAAGTTAGTTACCATGGCAATATCATCAGTGTCTAAGTTAGTTACCATGACAATATCAGCAGTGTCTCTAAGTTAGTTACCATGGCAATATCAGCAGTGTCTAAGTTAGTTACCATGGCAATATCAGCAGTGTCTTAGTTAGTTACCATGGCAACATCAGTGGTGTCTAAGTTAGTTACCATAGCAATATGAGCAGTGTCTGTTAGTTACCATAGCAATATCAGCAGTGTCTAAGTTAATTACCATGACAATATCAGCAGTGTCTAAGTTAGTTACCATGGCAATATCAGCAGTGTCTAAGTTAGTTACCATGGCAATATCAGCTGTCTATGTTAGTTACCATGACAATATCAGCAGTGTCTCTAAGTTAGTTACCATGACAATATCAGCAGTGTCTTAGTTAGTTACCATGGCAACATCAGTGGTGTCTATGTTAATTACCATGACAATATCAGCAGTGTCTAAGTTAGTTACCATGGCAATATCAGCAGTGTCTAAGTTAGTTACCATAGCAATATCAGCAGTGTCTAAGTTAGTTACCATGGCAATATCAGCAGTGTCTAAGTTAGTTACCATGGCAATATCAGCAGTGTCTGTTAGTTACCATGGCAATATCAGCAGTGTCTTAGTTACCATGGCAATATCAGTGGTGTCTAAGTTAGTTACCATGGCAATATCAGCAGTGTCTAAGTTAGTTACCATGGCAATATTAGCAGTGTCTAAGTTAGTTACCATGGCAATATTAGCAGTGTCTAAGTTAGTTACCATGGCAATATTAGCAGTGTCTAAGTTAGTTACCATGGCAATATTAGCAGTGTCTAAGTTAGTTACCATGGCAATATCAGCAGAGTCTAAGTTAGTTACCATGGCAATATCAGCAGTGTCTTAGTTACCATGGCAATATCAGTGGTGTCCAAGTTAGTTAACATGGCAATATCAGTGGTGTCTAAGTTAGTTACCATGGCAATATCAGCAGTGTCTTAGTTACCATGGCAATATCAGTGGTGTCCAAGTTAGTTAACATGGCAATATCAGTGGTGTCTAAGTTAGTTACCATGGCAATATTAGCAGTGTCTAAGTTAGTTACCATGGCAATATCAGCAGTGTCTTAGTTACCATGGCAATATATGTGGTGTCTGTTAGCTACAATGACACTATCAGCTGAGTCTATGTTAGTCACCATGACAATATCAGCTGGGTCTATGTTAGTTACCATGGAAATAGCAGCTATGTCCATGTTAGTCATCATGACAATTTCAGCTGTGTCCATGTTAGTGATCATGACAATTTCAGCTGTGTCTATGTTAGTTATTGTGGCAATATCAGCTGTGTCTATGTTAGTTACTGTGGCAATATCAATCTACTGTTTTTTAATTCTTCTTTATCTCCATGTATGAGCTCCATTTGTCTGGTACATTTGCTACTGTCCTCCTTTCTTACAGTAAACTTCTTCACCATGTATGTGTTCCTTTTGTCTGGTACATTTGCTACTGTCCTTCTATCTTACAATAAACTTCTTCACCATGTATGTGTTCCTTTTGTCTGGTACATTTGCTACTGACCTCCTATCTTACAGTGAACTTCAACAGTGACAAGGCTCTTCAAGAACTCACCCACAAACTACTATGGCAGTATACAGGAAGGTAACCTGGCAGCATTCTGTTCTGACAAGATACACACAAAAGCAAAAGACCCACACAACTGCAGCCTTATACGCTAGCATCTAAACAAACAAGCACACAACTGAAGCCTTATACGCTAGCATCTAAACAAACAAGCACACAACTGCAGCCTTATACGCCAGCATCTAAACAAACAAGCACACAACTGCAGCCTTATACGCCAGCATCTAAACAAACAAGCCCAGAACTGCAGCCTTATACGCCAGCATCTAAACAAACAAGCCCAGAACTGCAGCCTTATACGCCAGCATCTAAACAAACAAGCACAGAACTGCAGCCTTATATGCTAGCATCTAAACAAACAAGCACAGAACTGCAGCCTTATACGCCAGCATCTAAACAAACAAGCACACAACTGCAGCCTTATACGCCAGCATCTAAACAAACAAGCACACAACTGCAGCCTTATACACCAGCATCTAAACAAACAAGCACACAACTGCAGCCTTATATGCTAGCATCTAAACAAACAAGCCCAGAACTGCAGCCTTATATGCTAGCATCTAAACAAACAAGCCCAGAACTGCAGCCTTATACACCAGCATCTAAACAAACAAGCACACAACTGCAGCCTTATACGCTAGCATCTAAACAAACAAGCACACAACTGCAGCCTTATACGCCAGCATCTAAACAAACAAGCCCAGAACTGCAGCCTTATACACCAGCATCTAAACAAACAAGCACACAACTGCAGCCTTATACGCCAGCATCTAAACAAACAAGCACACAACTGCAGCCTTATACACCAGCATCTAAACAAACAAGCCCAGAACTGCAGCCTTATACACCAGCATCTAAACAAACAAGCACACAACTGCAGCCTTATACGCTAGCATCTAAACAAACAAGCCCAGAACTGCAGCCTTATACGCTAGCATCTAAACAAACAAGCACACAACTGCAGCCTTATACGCTAGCATCTAAACAAACAAGCCCAGAACTGCAGCCTTATACGCCAGCATCTAAACAAACAAGCCCAGAACTGCAGCCTTATACGCTAGCATCTAAACAAACAAGCACACAACTGAAGCCTGGTGTACCCATACCTAATACAGTATTCATAGCATACACAACATCAATCTCCCTTTATCTCTTCTGACTTTTGTCACCTACTGCTTTCCTAGCGATATCATGTTTGTGTTGGCACTTCTTAATGCTTCTTAAGCATTTTTGATCTTGCATTTGCTAAGACTATAATCTGTCAATTTTTCCACAATGGATAGTGACAGACAACCTGTTCTGTTTAGCTGTCAACCACAGCACATGAACCAGCTCTTCAATATCAACTATAGAAACTAAACATTTCCCCACTAACTGAGAAAACAACCACAGCACATGAACCAGCTCTTCAATGTCAACTATAGAAACTAAACATTTCCCCACTAACTGAGAAAACAACCACAGCACATGAACCAGCTCTTCAATGTCAACTACAGAAACTAAACATTTCCCCACTAACTGAGAAAACAACCACAGCACATGAACCAGCTCTTCAATGTCAACTATAGAAACTAAACATTTCCCCACTAACTGAGAAAACAACCACAGCACATGAACCAGCTCTTCAATGTCAACTACAGAAACTAAACATTTCCCCACTAACTGAGAAAACAACCACAGCACATGAACCAGCTCCTCAATGTCAACTACAGAAACTAAACATTTCCCCACTAACTGAGAAAACAACCACAGCACGTGAACCAGCTCCTCAATGTCAACTACAGAAACTAAACATTTCCCCACTAACTGAGAAAACAACCACAGCACATGAACCAGCTCTTCAATGTCAACTATAGAAAACTAAACATTTCCCCACTAACTGAGAAAACAACCACAGCACATGAACCAGCTCTTCAATGTCAACTATAGAAACTAAAACATTTCCCCACTAACTGAGAAAACAACCACAGCACATGAACCAGCTCTTCAATGTCAACTATAGAAACTAAACATTTCCCCACTAACTGAGAAAACAACCACAGCACATGAACCAGCTCTTCAATGTCAACTACAGAAACTAAACATTTCCCCACTAACTGAGAAAACAACCACAGCACATGAACCAGCTCTTCAATGTCAACTATAGAAACTAAACATTTCCCCACTAACTGAGAAAACAACCACAGCACATGAACCAGCTCTTCAATGTCAACTATAGAAACTAAACATTTCCCCACTAACTGAGAAAACAACCACAGCACATGAACCAGCTCTTCAATGTCAACTATAGAAACTAAACATTTCCCCACTAACTGAGAAAACAACCACAGCACATGAACCAGCTCTTCAATATCAACTATAGAAACTAAACATTTCCCCACTAACTGAGAAAACAACCACAGCACATGAACCAGCTCTTCAATGTCAACTATAGAAACTAAACATTTCCTCACTAACTGAGAAAACAACCACAGCACATGAACCAGCTCTTCAATGTCAACTACAGAAACTAAACATTTCCCCACTAACTGAGAAAACAACCACAGCACATGAACCAGCTCTTCAATGTCAACTACAGAAACTAAACATTTCCCCACTAACTGAGAAAACAACCACAGCACATGAACCAGCTCCTCAATGTCAACTATAGAAACTAAACATTTACCCACTAACTGAGAAAACAACCACAGCACATGAACCAGCTCTTCAATATCAACTATAGAAACTAAACATTTCCCCACTAACTGAGAAAACAACCACAGCACATGAACCAGCTCTTCAATGTCAACTATAGAAACTAAACATTTCCCCACTAACTGAGAAAACAACCACAGCACATGAACCAGCTCTTCAATGTCAACTATAGAAACTAAACATTTCCCCACTAACTGAGAAAACAACCACAGCACATGAACCAGCTCTTCAATGTCAACTATAGAAACTAAACATTTCCCCACTAACTGAGAAAACAACCACAGCACATGAACCACTCTTCAATGTCAACTATAGAAACTAAACATTTCCCCACTAACTGAGAAAAACAACCACAGCACATGAACCAGCTCTTCAATGTCAACTACAGAAACTAAACATTTCCCACTAACTGAGAAAACAACCACAGCACATGAACCAGCTCTTCAATGTCAACTATAGAAACTAAACATTTCCCCACTAACTGAGAAAACAACCACAGCACATGAACCAGCTCTTCAATGTCAACTATAGAAACTAAACATTTCCCCACTAACTGAGAAAACAACCACAGCACATGAACCAGCTCTTCAATGTCAACTATAGAAACTAAACATTTCCCCACTAACTGAGAAAACAACCACAGCACATGAACCTGCTCTTCAATGTCAACTACAGAAACTAAACATTTCCCTACTAACTGAGAAAACAACCACAGCACATGAACCAGCTCCTAAATGTCAACTACAGAAACTAAACATTTCCCCACTAACTGAGAAAACAACCACAGCACATGAACCAGCTCTTCAATGTCAACTACAGAAACTAAACATTTCCCCACTAACTGAGAAAACAACCACAGCACATGAACCAGCCCTTCAATGTCAACTATAGAAACTAAACATTTCCCCACTAATTGAGAAAACAACCACAGCACATGAACCAGCTCTTCAATGTCAACTATAGAAACTAAACATTTCCCCACTAACTGAGAAAACAACCACAGCACATGAACCAGCTCTTCAATGTCAACTACAGAAACTAAACATTTCCCTACTAACTGAGAAAACAACCACAGCACATGAACCAGCTCCTAAATGTCAACTATAGAAACTAAACATTTCCCCACTAACTGAGAAAACAACAGCACATGAACCAGCTCTTCAATGTCAACTACAGAAACTAAACATGTCCCCACTAACTGAGAAAACAACCACAGCACATGAACCAGCTCTTCAATGTCAACTACAGAAACTAAACATTTCCCCACTAACTGAGAAAACAACCACAGCACATGAACCAGCGCTTCAATGTCAACTACAGAAACTAAACATTTCCCCACTAACTGAGAAAACAACTGATAGAAGATACTGCCATAGCTTTAAAGCTGTTGTTACTGGGAAACACAACATTCTTATCTATTTAGTATCTGTTCAGTATTTCAGGTAAATACGATCTTATCTCTCTCTGCAAGACCTTCTCACTGCCATGTCATGTTGCAGATTCAAACCAGCACCTTTTATACAACAACCAGCAGCAGAAAACTTACCTAATCCACTAAATCCAAGAGGATTGAGCAGTGATGGTGGTGGATATGGAGATGGTCTTGGGAACTGAGATAAGCCTGCAGAATAAAACAAAATAATGTACTCACAACAATTTAAAAAAAAAGGCTAAATAGTACTATTATCTATCCATTGTGAAGACTAGTTAGGCCTTGAGGCAAAGACTAGTTAGGCATTGAGGTGAAGTCTAGTTAGGCATTGAGGTGAAGTCTAGTTAGGCATTGAGGTAAAGACTAGTTAGGCATTGAGGTAAAGACTAGTTAGGCATTGAGGTAAAGACTAGTTAGGCATTGAGGTAAAGACTAGTTAGGCCTTGAGGTGAAGTCTAGTTAGGCATTGAGGCAAAGACTAGTTAGGCATTGAGGTGAAGACTAGTTAGGCATTGAGGTAAAGACTAGTGAGGCATTGAGGTAAAGACTAGTTAGGCATTGAGGCAAAGACTAGTTAGGCATTGAGGTGAAGTCTAGTTAGGCATTGAGGTGAAGTCTAGTTAGGCATTGAGGTGAAGTCTAGTTAGGCATTGAGGCAAAGACTAGTTAGGCATTGAGGTGAAGACTAGTTAGGCATTGAGGTGAAGTCTAGTTAGGCATTGAGGTGAAGTCTAGTTAGGCATTGAGGTGAAGTCTAGTTAGGCATTGAGGCAAAGACTAGTTAGGCATTGAGGTGAAGACTAGTTAGGCATTGAGGTAAAGACTAGTTAGGCATTGAGGTAAAGACTAGTTAGGCATTGAGGCAAAGACTAGTTAGACATTGAGGTGAAGTCTAGTTAGGCATTGAGGCGAAGACTAGTTAGGCATTGAGGTGAAGTCTAGTTAGGCATTGAGGTAAAGACTAGTTAGGCATTGAGGTGAAGACTAGTTAGGCATTGAGGCAAAGACTAGTTAGGCATTGAGGTGAAGTCTAGTTAGGCATTGAGGCGAAGACTAGTTAGGCATTGAGGTGAAGTCTAGTTAGGCATTGAGGTAAAGACTAGTTAGGCATTGAGGTGAAGACTAGTTAGGCATTGAGGCAAAGACTAGTTAGGCATTGAGGCGAAGACTAGTTAGGCATTGAGGTGAAGACTAGTTAGGCATTGAGGTAAAGACTAGTTAGGCATTGAGGTGAAGACTAGTTAGGCATTGAGGCAAAGACTAGTTAGGCATTGAGGTGAAGACTAGTTAGGCATTGAGGTGAAGTCTAGTTAGGCATTGAGGTGAAGTCTAGTTAGGCATTGAGGTGAAGTCTAGTTAGGCATTGAGGTGAAGTCTAGTTAGGCATTGAGGTGAAGGTTCTTCCTGCTGGAAACTAGAGAACATCACAAACTTGGGCCAAGTCTCAGCCAAGCATCACCAACTTGGACAAGTCTATGTTAGCCAAATCATGTCAACTGCTTGACATCCAGACAAGGAGTTTCCTTAGATGTGACATTTCAGTACTGCTCTTGCGAATTCCCCCCACCCCCTTCCAGATAAGCATAAACTTCCTATGTGGGTTAGCAGCTCCACTGGAGCTGCAATAACAAACAATAACAAAAATATGTCTATAATTCTATAATTTAAACACACATACAAATATTCACTGGGCTGACACACACAACATGTGATGCGAGAAAAAAGCAGACAAACAAACATACCTAGATGAGCAGACAAACATACCTAGATGAGCAGACAAACATACCTAGATGAGCAGACAAACATACCTAGATGAGCAGACAAACATACCTAGATGAGCAGCTGAGGACAGTAAACTGGCGCTACTGTGATTCATACCATCTGGTAAACCTCGAGGAACTGAAACAAAACAAAAAAAATTATTATGTATTCAACTCAAGAGCTGAGCTCATAGCCAGAGATGACACCTGTGTTTTAACACTAAACAAAATAACATAAGCCAGTTCCAGGAATTTTACAAACAGCAATGTGTGTTTGCTGAGCAAGCATTAATACTCAGCCTTCACTACAAGCTGATCTCATACATATCTGAAGGCTGAACACACAACTAGTGGGTACATACCTGATGACTGAACACACAACTAGCAGGTACATACCTGATGACTGAACACACAACTAGCGGGTACATACCTGATGACTAAACACACAACTAGTGGGTACATACCTGACGACTCAACACACAACTAGTGGGTACATACCTGACGACTCAACACACAACTAATGGGTACATACCTGACGACTGAACACACAACTAGCGGGTACATACCTGACGACTCAACACACAACTAGTGGTAACATACCTGACGACTGAACACACAACTAGTGGGTATATACCTGATGACTGAACACACAACTAGTGGGTATATACCTGATGACTAAACACACAATTAGTGGGTACATACCTGACGACTGAACACACAACTAGTGGGTTCATTCCTGATGACTGAACACACAACTAGTGGGTATATACCTGATGACTAAACACACAACTAGTGGGTACATACCTGACGACTAAACACACAACTAGTGGGTATATACCTGATGACTGAACACACAACTAGCGTGTACACACCTGATGACAGATTAGATGACACAACATATGACTAGCATGTACATGACAGATTAGATGATAGGATGTACACATCTGATGACAGATTAGATAATACAACAGATGACTAGCATGCACATACCTGATGAAAGAAGGGATGAATCAGACTGCCGCCCCGAGGCCCCACTTCCATGCAGAAGATGACCAGCCGGCCGCAGCAAAGGTTCCAAGGGTTTCGTGTCCCCAGCAGACTTGGAAGAAGAGGACGACGACGAGCCTGGGGCTCCATCAGAGTCCTTCTGGCCCTTCTTCTGCTGCCTGTGGTAGATCTCCCAGGCCACCCGCACGTGGACCGCGCACCACCTGCCTTGTTTCTGTAGAGGCATCAGAGACAACAGTCTGCATTACCAACCAAAACCGCTGTGGCTTGTCTGAGTATGACAATAAACACTTGTCACACTTGGTTGGTTATTACACCAGTGTGGGCTCAGGGGCCCCATTGTTGGGGGGGGGGGGGGGGGAGCTGACCCACTGCCTCTTAAAAAGCATATCGTTAGTCGATTAATTAGGGGTTTCCTTCTAAGTCGCAGTGCATCTGACTGATAGGCAAGGAACCAACAGTCTGCATACAAAAAAAGTCAAATCTTTGAAAGGGATAGGCAAGCAAACTTAAGTTCTATGAGCAAGACCAAAGTCCAGGAGTGGACGAACAACCACAATTTTTTGTAGCAATTTACTTCCCGTGAAAGTCTAGAAGGCGAAGAAGACTTTCAATGTGTATGTCTGTACATGTTCCAACCCGACACAGCAATATTTTGTACTCCAAGTTGTCTGTCCTTCCGTCACCGCACGTGTCATATCATGATTTCCCTATACCTCACGTGTCATATCATGATTTGCCTATACCTCACGTGTCATATCATGATTTGCCTATACCTCACGTGTCATATCATGATTTGCCTATACCTCACGTGTCATATCATGATTTGCCTATACCTCACGTGTCATGTCATGATTTGCCTATACCTCACGTGTCATATCATGATTTGCCTATACCTCACGTGTCATATCATGATTTGCCTATACCTCACGTGTCATATGATGATTTCCCTATACCTCGCGTGTCATATGATGATTTCCCTATACCTCGCGTGTCATATAATGATTTCCCTATACCTCACGTGTCATATCATGATTTCCCTATACCTCGCGTGTCATATAATGATTTCCCTATACCTCACGTGTCATATCATGATTTCCCTATACCTCGCGTGTCATATAATGATTTCCCTATACCTCACGTGTCATATGATGATTTCCCTATACCTCACGTGTCATATGATGATTTCCCTATACCTCACGTGTCATATCATGATTTACCTAATACCGCACGTGTCACGATTTCCCAAACCGCACAAAGCGCTGCTGTTATGAAATCCAAACTGTCTGCCTGTAGCTGATCCCTGATCTACACAATTCGGTCCATCATTCCAACGTTTTGTGTGTCTGTAGATGCCCCCCCCCCCCATCGTTCTTTGCGCATCGCACAGTTCACGTTATGACTTTCAAGTTCTATGTCTGTCTATATATACCCCTACCCTACACAGCACGCATGTTGTAACTTCTAGTGGGCTGTATGTCTGTCTGTTTGTACCTATCCTCCTCCTCCTCCTATATGATTTCCAGTTGTCTGCATCTGTTCCCTTACATCAAGAGTATTCAACAACGTTGACTCTGGGGTCAAATTACTGAACAGGGGGGTCGACAGGGACCAGGGACCCAAGCTCCCGGCGCTGACATATTAATCTATACAATACTTTTGTTTTAATCGGCAGAGAACCGCGGGCCACTTGCTAGACTTCTGCGAGCCGTGCTATGTACATTTCATATTTCCCAACATGTCGGTCTGCCACGTTGACAGTGTCTAGACCAGTGTTCCCCACAATTTTCTTAGTCGCGGCGCCTTTTTTCAATTACAATTTTTCCACGGCGCCCTAACCTAAGTAAAAGTATGACTATTCGTATGTTAGGGGGAAAAAAAACAACAACGTGTATTTTTGAATATTTCGCAGCGCCCCTGTGAACAGGTCGCGGCGCCCCTGTGAACAGGTCGCGGCTCCCCTGTGAAGAGGTCGCGGTTCCCTGGGCGCACAGTTTGGGAATCACTGGTCTACGGAACACAAAGGTGTCCGTGTGTATTGTTGCGCAGGTAAAGAAAATCCCCTGGCAGTTGTGTAAGTAGAACGGTACACTTATGGGTTACTACACGTGTGCCATGATGTTGATCCCTAGTCTAAACATCCATTAAACAAAGGTTTCTGTTATAACTACAGTTGTCGGCCTGCCAGTAGCTGCCTTTCCCCCGCTTACATCACCAACGTGAAGGCAGTTCCACGACAAATATTTAATATCAGGAGTGCCATGTGTAAGGCCGTCACAGAAACTATGGGTCATAGCATCGTGAGGTTGAGACAATTAGACAATGGGTTAGTTATTTCATCAGCCAGGTCTCCATGGTAACAACCTACACAGGGCGGACATTCTTCTTCGCCTTCACCGGCTGTAAACTTCGGCGGTAAGTTCTGCTTGTTCATCCACTTTTAGACTGCAATCCTGTTTTAGAACCTGAGTGTTGCGTGTGCATCCGTTTTACAGATCTGACTCATCTGTATGCAGACTGCTGGTTCCTTGCCTCTCAGGCAGATGCACTCCGATTTCGAAGAAAGCTCCGAATTAGTCGACTCTTACGACATGCTTTTGGGTAAACAGTGGGTCTATTCTTGTTCTCTCTACAATAGGGCCCCGGAACCCACACGGGGAGGCGGGAATTCAACTCCTGACGTCTCGCCCAGCCATACTGTCAGCAAACGAAGCGTTTCCGCTAAAACTTCGCTAAATTTCGTCAATTGTTCGCTTTACTGACTCTACTCTACCTGCAAGCGCAATAGCCCCCCCCCCCCCCCCACACCCCAAAACATCCGCATTACGCCAAAGAAATCCTACAAACAGTAATATAGTTTTCATATTAAGTATATGTTTATACGTTTAATATTATTCCAAATATATTCTATTTATTACCCTTTTAGCTTGTAATAACCAAACCGACATATAAGTGTTGAAGCAAACAAACCGACCGAGAGCAGACAGTATTAGAGCAACCTAACCGACAAACCGACCGAGAGCAGACAGTATTAGAGCAACCTAACCGACAAACCGACCGAGAGCAGACAGTATTAGAGCAACCTAACCGACAAACCGACCGAGAGCAGACAGTATTAGAGCAACCTAACCGACAAACCGACCGAGAGCAGACAGTATTAGAGCAACCTAACCGACAAACCGACCGAGAGCAGACAGTATTAGAGCAACCTAACCGCACGTTAAACTGCTCAACAAACTACAGTTGACACATGTAGGGTCGGTAACAAGCAGCAGGAAAGCCATCTAACCGACGGATATAACAGCCAACTAAGAGAACAACGGCTCCTTTTTAAATGAATTGTCTGCTAAACACAACAATAAACGTACCCCGTCTGATACACTGTGTTCCACAGCAACAAATCCTGGTCTGGTTTCTTGTTAAACATCCCCGCAGATAAAATAAAATGGCACACACACAAGCAAAGAACAAACGACCCCCTCCCTCTTGCTATTTCGTTGAAATCAAGACGGCCGGCATACACGTGCGATTCTCTCTCCGCCAGGCTGTAAACCTGAAACGTGGCCGTCTCTGGGAGACGGTCACGCCTGAAACCCGACTGTTCCTGAACTAATCGCAGCACGTTTTTCTTCTAACGCAAACAAACACTGGCGAGCAATCGGCACACACTCGACTCAAGTGCCCACTCCGCTCTAGAGTGAGACAAAGCGATGCTCTCCCTCGAATATTCTCGTGACGCGCTCCCACTCTAACAGTAACGATTGACTCGCGGCTAACCTACTTGTCTACAGCCCGACTTTAGTAGTCTGTTTCTGAATCACGAAGCCTTCGATTAGCTCGATGGACTACGGCAGACACACACAAAAGGCGGGGGAGGGGGTTGCTGGGTCTTGATTGATACATTCTAATGCTGAACTGTAATTCCGCTCTAACTCTACTAAGTTGGTCAATGTCTTTCCCTCTTTACTGTCAGTGTAGCACAACCAACCAACTGGGGCCAAACCTTGCCCTCCTTGGCTAAATCCCTCAAATGTACGGTGCTATGCTTGACGGCAAACATGACAGACAGCGATGCTCGGCTGCTCCATGTTGTCGCCGACGCCGCCCGTGTGTACAATACAATGACATCTCAGTAGCGGCCAGTAGTCAATGACCCTTCTGGTTTCTGTGGCTCACAAGGCAATAGTGCTTGACCCATTATATGTATAGACCAATTCGGCAATAGTGCTAGACCCATTATACTTACAGACCAATTCGGCAATAGTGCTAGAATTCGGCAATAGTGCTAGACCCATTTTACGAATAGACCAATTCGGCAATTGTGCTAGACCCATTATACGTATAGACCAATTCGGCAATAGTGCTAGACCCATTATTATACGTATAGACCAATTCGGCAATAGTGCTAGACCCATTATACGTATAGACCAATTCGGCAAAAGTGCTAGACCCATTTTACTTACAGACCAATGAAACTCGATGACATGTCTGACACACTGTCAGAATCTTCGTGTTGGTGACTTCTTGCCATAACGACGCCTCCGGTGCGGCCCTCTCTGGGCTAATTTAGTAAAGGTAGGGTAGGGAGATGTGACCACATGTGTACACGGTTAGAAACCATAAGTGCTCTGTCACCAGTTTGGATAGCTGATAAGAAACTGTCCGCCGGTGTCGCCGACCGCACGAAACTCCGTAGCTACAGCGACATTCCTCCGTTTACCCCAGAGTGTTAACTCTGGTACCCATTGCCTAGAGGCTGAGTGAACCCCAGGAACCGCCCGGTTTCGAACACCGGCCGTGAGCTGCAGCGAGTAGCAGTTGGATTTGAAAGCGAGTCTCCTATCGACTGCGCTAAAGCGGCTCCTTCAGTGTGTCATATAACCAAAACATTTCAGTTTCCAAGACAAGATGGTGTTTTACAGCCAGTTTTCTTCCATATTCTCATCTTATCTAAAGCCAAGATTTCTTCTTCTTCTTCTTATTTTCACTAATATTTCACTTTATAAACAACTGGCCGATTCACTCAAACAGTGGTTCTCAACTTGTTTCAGGCGGCGCCCTTCTTTAGCTTTATAATCAAATGCAAGTTTTACACTATAATTAGAGCTTCACCATTAGATGTCCAACCTGCCGATGAACCAAAAACAAAAGCCCGTTATCTAAAATTTACAATTAAACTGTGGCCCGGCTCTCTAGCGTAGTTGGCTAAACCGGATTGCGCAGAGACCGGGTGACGAACTTCTTGTGGTCCGGGTTCAATCCCAGGGGTAGACAAGAAAACCATATTTTCTCCCAGATTTACGGTATTTACAATTGAATCAAGGCCGAAAGGTTCCGATATCCACAATACCGAGCCTAAGGGTTAACAACTCATGGCTTCTGGATACTAAAACAAACAATTAAACTGTGAACCCCCTCGCCCCCTTAAGAGTAAGAGTAACAGATTAAAAGTACAAATATACTCAATTTCATAACTGAAGCCCCTATGAAACTATTCTATCCCCCCCCCCCTTTTCCCCGAGATCTCGCCCATCTAGGTCACTACGACAATGGCACCCATCAGTGATCAGTCTCTTTTAGCAAATGTTAAAGTGCAGGCAGGCTCATTATAAATGCATCGATGGTGTCACCCCCCCCCCCCCTCACTTGATCATTCTGGATACCGTCGTCAGTGGTGCCAACTGATCATACAGGCTACTGTCGTCAGTGGTGCCAACTGATCATACTGGCTACCGTCAGTGGTGCCAACTGATCATACTGGCTACCGTCAGTGGTGCCAACTGATCATACTGGCTATTGCCGTCAGTGGTGCCAACTGATCATACTGGCTACTGCCGTCAGTGGTGCCAACTGATCATACTGGCTACTGCCGTCAGTGGTGCCAACGGATCATACTGGCTACTGCCGTCAGTGGTGCCAACGGATCATACTGGCTACTGTCGTCAGTGGTGCCAACTGACTGCTCTGCATCCATCTGTCCTGAATATCTAGTTTACTAGCAATGGATATCGTACTTAATAATATTGGATATCTAGCTGGATATGGATATCTATCGAGCTGAGTATCCTCAGCACTCTATCACTGGATATTCAGCCGACTGTTTCTACGTATCTAACGCTAAAAACATCTTACTATTCATGGATCATCACTTCTCGTTAGGCCTAGTGGCACATGAGGCTTCAGAGAGGACTTTCCTCGTTATGCCTAGTGGCACATGAAGCTTCAGGGAGGACTTTCCTCGTTAAGCCTAGTGGCACATGAGGCTTCAGAAAGGACTTTCCTCGTTAAGCCTAGTGGCACATGAGGCTTCAGAGAGGACTTTCCATGCTTTCCTGTCCTGTACGGTCTTCAGAGCAAACTAGATGTGTAGATCCAGGTGAGGGAGGTTAAGTGCGATTTCTTAATGCTGTCTACACATTCAGAGCGCATACCGCCTGCTGCTATTTATTGAAGCATGTTTACGGAGTCTGATACAATTACTGCCAGTGTGGCTGTTTGCTCCGTTACACATGCTCAAGAAGCAGCGGCTATCTCTATGGTCATGCTTGACGTGGTTGCCTGGTAAGTACTTCTCCCTTTAACATCTATGAATGCCAATCAATAGCTGCAGATTTTTTAACAATCGCTATATGTCAATGCCCTGCAGAATGTACCTGACGCTTTGTTTTCATGAACTCATGGGCAGTCATACTACACTGAAACAAAAATACTTGGCCCGGCACAACTGCTGCAATATGCGATACCATTATAAACACATACAGTGGCGTCATCATTTTCAGGCTCATCCCAATTTGTATAAGGCCCGTGAAAGTTATCCTAGACGGCCACAGCACAACGTAGAGCACAACGTCCAGTGTAAACATGAAATCAACAACTAAAAGAAACTAACTTTGTGCAAGGGAGGGAGCCCGGGTGGAGGAACAGCTTTCTCTCTGTCGCGGTATGAGACCAGCATCTGTCCTGGGGTCACCAAATTCTGCAACAGGGACAAGAGAGTGCCAAGGTTACATTTGCAAAGGACAACACCCAACAACACAGAAGCAAATTGACATCATCATCACACACTACATGCAACGGCAAGATCAGAGCACTATCCATACTCCATATACTAGTACAACTACTCACAGAGCACATAACAACAATAATTCAACGCTATGCCTTACACGGATATCAGAGGATCATTTAAATGCCCAAAATGGTTTACACATTGATTAAAAATTGTCGGGATGGGAGGAAAAAGTGGGAGGGGGTAGATCAACAGCCGTTTAAAAGGTATGTCGTAAAAGACACAACTAATTCAAAGTTTGATGATGAAATCGGGTCTGTTGGGCTTCCAGATGCATCTGCTGCACCCTAGCTGTAAACCACACAACCCAACCTTCCTTATAAGGGCGAAGGCAGAAGAAGAATAAGAAAGAAAGAAAGAAAGATTTAAAGAAAGAAAGAAAGAAGGAAAGAAAGAAAGGAAGAAGGAAGGAAAGAAAGAAAGAAAAAAAGAAAGAAAGAAAGAAAGAAAGAAAGAAAGAAAGAAAGAAAGAAAGAAAAAAGAAAAGAAAGAAAGAAGAAAAGAAAGAAAGGAAGGAAAGAAAGAAAGAAAGAAAGAAAGAAAGAAAGAAAGAAAGAAAGAAAGAAAAAGAAAGAAAGAAAGAAAGAAAGAAAGAAAGAAAGAAAGAAAGAAAGAAAGAAAGAAAAGAAAGAAAGAAAGAAGGAAAGAAAGGAAGGAAGAAAAAAAGAAAGAAAGAAAGAAAGAAAGAAAGAAAGAAAGAAAGAAAGAAAGAAAGAAAGAAAGAAAGAAAGAAAGAAAGAAAGAAAGAAAGAAAGAAAAGAAAATAACTGACGATGAACTGCCTGATAGAGTATTATCATCAACTTTGCCTTCTTCTACCTTCTATCTCCCAATGGAGCATAGGCCCTCAACAAACTCACACTCTGCCGATAATATCGCTGGCAGTTTACGGTTCGCCTTTCAGCATGGATACATCCAGGATCAGGTATGTGTTCTTGCCCCACCCTGTCTATGTGAGCAGTAAGTATATATCTCTCTGTGGACTGCCAAAGCTCGCTTTCCGTCAGGCTTACAATCTGTCACCATGTCAGTGAGTCTATTTCTGCTGATCGCATGGGTAAAACTATTTAAAGTCAGTTTAAAAAAAAAAGCTTACAAATGTAGATAAATCTTTAAGGAAAAACATTCGGAGCTTTTAAAATGAAATGCTACAGAAAAAAATTCATAGAATACCGTGGGACAAGAAAAAGAGAAATATCATCATCTGACACGATTTGAACAAGCGGATAAACAGCGTCCTGTCCCGAAAGCCGTGGCACATTGGCCTTATTAAACGTCACGGTGGCCTGGAGAGAACAGTGATGGAAGGTACAGATTCTGGAAAACGAAGCAGAAGCCGCCCTCTGCCAAGGCACTTAAAATGCACTGGATATGAAAGCACACAGGAATGGAGAATTGACAAGAGATAGAAAGACGTGTCGTAAACGAGAGCGACGTTCTGTAGACCTGTTGACTGACGATAAATGTATATCAAGAACAGTAACAGTGCGTGTTGCGGGCCATCTTCTAAGAACTGACTAAGGGTTGGCTGCAGCTTGAGACGTAGCTATCATATTCAGTCAAACACGACTGTCACAACAACCGACATCTTTTTCTTCTTCTTCCTCTTCAGCAATAAACGACTGCTCTCTACTTACTCCGGGATGTGTCACTCACAAAACACGCGAGCGTAAAGTCTTCACCGGTTGCCCGCTGTTGTCTTGCCACCGAGGGCTAGATGTGACAAGTCGAATGAAGTAACATCCTGCCAACCAAAAAATTAATCAAATGAACTGTGACTAAGAAGTTCAAGCGGTTCAACATCACCAAAAAAGACAGCTGCGAAAGAGGGAGGGGAAAGGGCGAGACTGCACACGATAGCAAAAGAGGTTAGTTCGACGTTAGTCTCCCCAGACCCCGCCCATATACACACTAGATTGGTAGTTCTTGAAACCCGTGCCTTCGCACACTTTTACATGGTGTTCCGCAATGCTGTTAATATCGCTAGTTGTATATTTTAGCACGCCAGCGATTTTATCATTCCAAAAACATGGAGAAACTGGATCTAACACAAGTCCCCTAGAGAGCGCTGCAACCTATGACACAGGCATTCTGTTTCTCGGAATGAAAAGGTAAATGCAAGACAGCGCAGAAACCAAACAACAGAGCGGGACACACCCGTAACCTTCAGGAAAGTCGACCAGCCCAACAAACTTGTGAATGAAAAGTGACCTATTCTATTTGGGGAGACTAACGTCGAACAAACGGCAAAAGATCGTACGAGCTGGCGTGAGTTGGTTGCGTGCACGCTTGTGCAAAAGAACAAAAAGAAGTAACTTCTGACTGTACTAAAAAAAAAAAAAAAAGGCTAACCAACTGACTGACTTGCTTGGTGAGTGAGCCGAGATAAACAAAAGCGTATTAATGAAGACGTCGCGTAGAAATGAACTAAAATAAGCTAACACACTGAATAAGTTGACACCCCCTCGATGTACCAGCTCCAGAAGACAACTACACAGGGGACTGCCACCAATACACACACAAAGTGACACCGGGTGTTGACCGAGGACAAACACTAGGCTGCTCAGCAAGTCAGGTAGGTCATGGTTCAATCTCCCAGTAGTTGCGGGCAGGTAACCTGAGCCACGAGTGGGAAGCCCCGCAGTGAACATAAACAATGAGTTACCAATCGACTCAAAATATTTCAGGATCCTTGCCGGTGCTACGGACCCCGTTCACTGCGCTGAGTTACTTTGGACTCAGACTTGCCATGATGTTGATCCGTTGTTTAAACCTCAAATCTACTTGACGCGGCAACATTTTTGACCGTCGTATGTTGACACTTCACCATTGGGTGAAAGAGCGTTAATTCACGCACCAAATACTGAACCGCCATGTTGACAGTCCCCGCCTGACGGCTGTCTTTCATTCATTGTCAGTTATATGTCGCAAAAGTCTCACAGTCCCAGTCCTGTGCAATCACGTCGATATCGTGGATGGAATCCAGTCAAGCAGCTTTGGCTTTTGTCATCAACGTTCTCCTTAAGGGTTTCTCTCGGACGTACACGTTTCCTCAATCCTTCTATTTTCAATTTAGTGTTAAAGGAATGCAGAGATTCTCATACCAAGACGATACGAGAGCTAGCAAAACTAAGGGAAGAAATAAGAAAACTCACAGAACCGGAAAAGTAAATTAAAACAATGGAAACAGGCCCAGAGACACAAGAAAGGATAACAAAGCCTCATTTCAGTGTATTACAGAAGAGGCAAACACAGACAGGGAAAATAATTGAAGACCTTGCCATAACAGCAACGATGAAAAAGATAGAAGCCAGCAAGATCATATCATGGATAAGAAACAAGCTATACGAGCACATCACAGCAGGATGATGGAGGACATGATATCAGGAGACAACCTATTGGCTGCACCCTCAACCCTGACTGACTTACCCCGTCCTATCCAGTCACACCCACTGTATCCACCCACACTATGTCCCACCACGACATGCTGGCTCCAGGTCGGTCGTGGTCCCACATGACACGGCGCCCCACCACACCCAAGAATACTTGTATGTAAGCTCTCAGGTCCCCTATATCACCGCCCTGCTACTCCTACTCGACAGACCCCTATGACCTTCCAGCCTTCCCCGCCCGCCCCAACAGGACAGAAGAACAGTCGGACAAGAAACTAAATGACACAACTAAAAGCTTGGTATTAAAGCAATCATCAAGTCATAAACAGCAAAACTGAACAGGGGTAAAGACCACTTACAGATAATTCATTGGCACTGTAGGAGTGTTACGACTCATCTAAACGGAATGATAAAGCATACAGGGGGGAAAGGGGGGGGGGGGGCCAGAAAAACACCACAGCCCTTCAGCAGTCATGGCTTCAACGTAGCCGCATTATCAAATGCAAACACAGAAGAAGAAGAAAAAACAGAAATGGTAGAAAAGACGGTTCATGAACAGGAGTATTAGCAATCTTAACTGGAAAAGGATATATAAATAAATAAAGAAAGAATCCATAAATACCACCAACTTTGAGGGACTCCTTGAAGAAAAAAGGTCGAGCCATGTGGGATGCAATTGTTCGTTAGTTAAAGCCCCACCCTGACTTTTGCCCCAGGCCCTAAATATAGCCGGACCATGAATATGGCCTTAACGGCTAAAAGAGGTTTTTAATTCAACTTCTCGACCTTTTTAGGATGAAATTTTTCGTTATTTAAAGCCCTACTCTGGCTCTTGCCAGGGGCCGCAATATAGCCATAAATATGGCCTAAAGGCTGAACGCGGTTTCTGGGACCTCTCCACGGTGATCCTCACCCACATGGTGGCACATTGTGTCATCGGGTGTTTATCGCTTGTGTGATGTCCTAGTGGGGTACACGAGAGAAAGAGAGAGAGAGAGAGAGAGAGAGAGAGAGAGAGAGAGAGAGAGAGAGAGAGAGAGAGAGTGTGTGTCTGGAAGGCCATCCTTCACTGCGGAGAAGACATGAGATGACTGGCAGGTAGATATCTCTACAGCAGAACCACCCGTGGTCACTACAGCAACAACAACCATGGATGTGAGGTCGACCCAGTCGGTCACATTATCAAGCACCTTGTACACGGATGTATCGGGGATACCATGTACACTGATGTATCGGGGATACCGTGTACACGGATGTATCGGGGATACCGTGTACACGGATGTATCGGGGATACCATGTACACGGATGTATCGGGGATACCATGTACACTGATGTATCGGGGATACCGTGTACACGGATGTAACGGGGATACCGTGTACACTGATGTATCGGGGATACCATGTACACGGATGTATCGGGGATACCATGTATACTGATGTATCAGGGATACCGTGTACACGGATGTATCGGGGATACCATGTACACGGATGTATCGGG